AAGGAAAGGCAAAGTCAAATGACAGTCTAATAGAGAGACTGGAGGCAAGCTCAGGCAAGGAAGAATGCCTTGAGTCCATGTCCAAGAGGCAAAGGAAGAAGCTGTTGAAGCAGAAGCAGTGGGAAGAACAGAAAGATCTACGGAGGTATGGTTTGCAAAGCGGCTTCCCATGGTTCCCACATAATATTTAGTGCTAATAATAACGATGTGTCAGCAGAATTTGATTGTGAATTGCTTCATCAAATCAAGGCAGTTGAACCAGTTTTCTCCCACACCAGGTTTAAAGCAGTAGCCCCAGGCTACTTCATCTGCACTTGAAGAGGCTGTAGAGGTAAGCATCCCCTCCTCATACTAGAATTGTTCCTCGGCTTCAAGAGGATGTCAGGAGGGATTCAAACGTGCATGTTCTTCATTTGTCAGAAGGGAGACAGAAAGTGTGGCCTTGTTCCTCTCTTCCTGGTGCTGTCAGACTTGAGAATCTTACAAAGACACTGAATAAAAGCAGCTACATTTGACATGTGAAGTGCTGTGCTACAAGTTACAGAGCTTCTGTTTTGTTGTGTTGAGTGAAAGTGTATCTGCAAATGCAGTGATGGTGGTCTATTCTTATCCCAGACTGTCGGCTGCTCCTTTCCAAGACAGTGGTTGTTGCTGTCTCTGAAATTTGATCTCCCAACTGCCTGCTTCTCTCAGGAGGACTGGAGGATGGAACAATTTCTTCAGAAGCCTTTTGAGAAACTGTTCAGTGCAACAGGATGTAAATTGCCTTCCTCATTCTAATACTGTGATTGCTGTTCATGTGTAAACTAATCACTTTTTGGTTGGTTCTGTTACTAGACTTTTCTCAGAGCACCCTTAAATCCGTGAGACTCCCCAGTATTGAGTAAATTACATTTGTGTCAGATGTCTGTCTTTGTAGGTATTTACAGAACTTCACAAAGGCAGGGGGATGTTTTGTGCTGGTCTCAGTGTGGCACAAATGCAGGCAACAGGCTGAGTTTAAACTATCACAGTCACAGGACAACCACTTTGGTCCTAGAAATCTGCATTTGTTTGCATAACACAGTACCTCAGCAGAGCTGGCAGCACTTTTTGAGGATTGATTTGTTTGTTTACTTAGGCAGAAACGAAAAGAAAAACGCCAGAAGAGAAAACTAGAACGTCAGTCAAAATTGGATTCCAGTAGTGAGGGGAATGACAGAAAGTGCATGCGCAGGGAAGTTGTTCCTAGCACACTTCGCCTCATCGTGGACTGCAGCTTTGATGACCTGATGGTGTTAAAGGTAAAAGGAACTTCAGATTAACTAGGTATATTTAATCTTCTTAAATACAGACTATATGTTCTCAGGATTTTCCCATGGATTACGGACCAAGTGTTGTCACAGTCATAAACCTCTTTGATTCCTCAGATTAATTTTGTATGTCAATCAAAGCCCTGTGATTTTTTTTCCCCTAGAATAATGTAAATCAAGCACATGCATAGAGGTGTCTAAGTACACCTGTGTGGAAGATGTTTATGTCTCCTTGTCAGCATAATCCCCTCACAGTGGGTGTTTTTTCCTCTCAGGATCTGATGCCCACACTCTTTGAGTAGTCACTTTTGCCAGTTAAAAGCTTCCTTTCTCTCTCTTTAGCTTCTGACTGGCTCATGATAAAGCATTTTGTGATGGTCTGTATGAAGGACTAAATAAAAACAAACTGTGTTGTGTACAGGACGTTAAGAAGCTTCACAAGCAGATTCAGAGATGTTATGCAGAAAACCGCAAGGCATTTCATCCTGTGCAGGTATGTTTGAACAAACTGAACACTGACTGTTGCTAAGTACCAAACATGAGAACTGTAGTAGGGAAAGAAAATATTTAAGCTGCCTCTTTCATAAGAAATTACTTTTATTGTAACACCCACATGTTATAAGGATACCCCTGTATATGGAACAGTATGTGCATGCAGATGAAAAGTGCCAGATCCAGGTGTGCCAGTAAGAGGCTGTCAATACACTTGGTTTTAGCTGTGGCAGATTTTTTAAAAAGTCACTATAAGTCTGAATTTGTCTTTTAAATGTATCCCAAACTATATGAATATGGTCCTAATACCACTTCCATCTAAAAAATATTAAAAGTTTTAGCTAACTGTGTGGGAAGAGAGGAAACAGATTGTGGCAAGTTGATGTTTCTGTATTTTGTACGTCTTGTTTGTTCTGTTTGAAGTTTTACTTGACCAGCCATGGGGGACAGTTGAAGACCAACATGAACGAAAATGACAAAGGATGGGTGAATTGGAAGGTGAATAATTTAGTATTTCTGTAAAAAGTTACAGTTTTGATTGTAGTTGTTAACTATATTGTTAGTTGTGAAGAACATTTTTTTCCACGTGGATATTTCTAATACATGTGAGCAATAGCATATTTCAAAAAGCTTTTTGTCCTTTTAATTTATTTAACTTAAGTAAGCCAAAGACTGCTTCTCTTGGATCTAGATTTGAATCTTGCTTGAAAAACTACACACTGATCCATTTTCACTTATTTTCACTGAACTAATTTCATTCTTGATAGACTAAACAGGACTCCTTGATTTAAGCAGTTCCATCAGTTGTTCTTCTTGACAGTGCTCTTTTATCCATGCCCAAAATAAGATTTACCAGTTGGCATGTGATTCTCTGGTGTGCACTTTCATCACGTTGCCTCTCAGCACTGAAATGTTCTGGAGAGAAGTAGTTTCTCTTATGGTCAAGCTCCTGTTGGTTTTCCTTGCGACTCCCTGTTAAGCCACTATTCCAACAACTCCAAAGGAAGAGCACTTAGAACAAATAAAAACAGTCCCGTTTCCAGCAGTTCTTGTGCAATAGCTGCTTCATGAGAGTTTAGCATAAACTTATCTAACTGAACAATTAATGTTAACTAAGTGTTTGCTTCTGGGTTCGCTTTTTTTAATGGACTTAAAAACTACTCGGATCCATAGGAGAAATACAGCAACGTTTGAAGGGAATCACAAGAACTTAAGGATTTATAAAGTTATTTTGGGCTTCAGAAAATTTCCTGCTAATTTTTACAAATCAGTGCTCTAGGGACTGGATTGTTTACACAGAAAATTAATCTGCAATGCGCTATGTATTTGAACGTGAAGGAGGAATTTGGAATGACCACATACTGTTGGATTTATTTTGCCAGTCCCATCTTGGGTCTGTAAAGCTTGGTCAGCAATTCATCAATTGAATGTAACTTCTTTTAACTACCTTTTTTTTAGGATATCCAAATTAGAACAGAGCACTATAGTGAGCTAATAAAGAAAGAAGATCTAGTATATCTTACCTCAGATTCCCCAGACGTTCTCAGAGAGCTTGATGAGAAGAAAGCCTATGTGATTGGAGGACTGGTGGATCACAATCACCACAAGGTAAACTGTGGATCTGTTTCTTAGCAGCTGTTTTTTGGCACCTTATTTGACATGATTGCTGTTCATGTGTAAACTAACATAATTAATAATGAGAACTCTTCCTCAAAAGAGAATTCAAAAAATGTTGAAGAAATATGGAAAAACTTGTGGTGGCATCAGTGGCTTGTGTTCCAGAGTTTTCTTATCCTTTACTCTTCTCTGAAAAAACAGCAAGTGACTACAACCTGAATAACTTTGTACTTTAACATAAGCTTACCTTTAAAACAGGCAACCGCTGATGGTTCTAGAGCTGCAGCTGCATGAACAGGTTTCATTTACAATCCTTTTGACCACAGGTCATAGTGCGACATAAATTGAAAGTAGTGAGTTTTCCAGAGGTAGTAGCCCTTGAGGAAGGTACTGTCCAATCAGGTTAAGTTTCTTTTTGTAACCAACTTCTAAAGCAACATCATGGCAGCATAGGCAAAACTCTTGTCAGAAAATGATACTTGTAGTAAATTTGTACTGGCTGATCTGAAACAGTAATTCTCAATTCACTTGTTTTGCTATCTTTTCCCCAGGGAATTACTTACCGAAAAGCTGTAGAGCAGGGAATTGGTCATGCACAGCTGCCACTTGGAAACTTTGTCAAAATGAACAGTCGGAAAGTGTTAGCTGTCAATCATGGTAAGTTCTAAATCATTAAATAATTATATTATTTTATAATATACCTGTAATAGTTACAGTTTGAACCCTCTGCACTGTAGTGCAGATGACTAAACCTTGTTTTATTATGTTGATATTTCTTGAATTTAGTTGCCTACAGAATATACTAATTGCCCTAAATATTATAGATATGGTTAAATGCAAATAATGGTGTCTTAGCCGTTTAGAAGTGAACATTGTATCTTGCTGGCTTGTCTGAGGATTACTTGTGGCTTTCTTACCGTCCTGGTCTTGTTTCCAGGTTTACTGTATAAGTGAGTAAAATGTTGGAAACTATCCAATATTGTATCTTATTGTAGGGTACACATTTTATGCCAAGGGAGGATGAACGTTTGATGTTTACACCTCTTTCAACATTTCAACAGCTTTGTTCAGCAGTAACTGCCTCAGCACCTGTAGACTTTCCTCAGTTGGTATCAGCAGCACTCCAACTACTGAACTTTAATAACTGTATTTTCCTGGTTCTGACTGAAGTATTCAATTGCTTAACCAAGCCTTGAATCCTTGCTCCTTTTAAACTTCTAGCTTTATTATTAGACTGTCTTTCAGTGTCATTAAACAAAAATACATGCAAAATGGACCCTACTCAGACCTTCATGGAAATTTTTGACATGGTGTCAAAGTCTTTATTGTGCCCCACTGCAGATTCTTTAGCTTATCTTACGCTGCTTTATTTCAAGTTTATTTTTTTATGTAACACATTGCTCAATGGTAACTTTATTTTCTGAAAGTGCCGTATTAATGAGGCTGGTATTTGCATGATAATAAAGATTATTTAAGCATGGAAGAGAATATAGTATGGCACAGGACTTAAAAATTATCAAACCCTATGTGTTTGTAAGATGTTATGTGTTTCTAAATTTGGATCTTTCACTGTTGCTTTATATAGAAAGGAAGAGCTAATTATAGGAGGGGTCAAAATATTTATTAAAGTACATCCACAGCAGGATTCCTGTCAAACATGAGAAAGCATTGGTGCCTGTACAGAAGGCACTGCTGAGACTGAAGTATTTGTCTCAGTCCCTGAGAGAAATACTGTCATGCAGCTGGAGACTCGGGATGTGCTTGGCTTCAGGCTGCAGGAGTAGCAGAATTGCAGTGTCTATTCATGCCTGCATTCCATCAGCTCTGCTCTGAAGATGCTACAAGAGAACGCACACAAACCTCTGTAAAGATGGATTTGGGGGTGTGTTGCTATCAGCAATTCACTTACCTCCCTGTAAAAGAGCTGATGGGCTTTTCTGATGTTGCAGTGTTTGAGATCATCCTTGCATACCTGGAGAAGAGAGACTGGAAGGAGGCCTTCTTCAGTATCCTGCCACAAAGGAAAGGGGCTGTTCCTTTGGGAGAAGCCAATGATTCATCCAAACATGCTCTGTCTGGAAAAGAAGATGAAGACAATGACTCGGACAGCAATTAGGCTTCAGAATTGGATGGTGGGAAAGATGAGACATGCAGTTAGTGGAATAAAACTGGGACATTAAGTAGTTTTACTTCAAAGGCCATCTGTGGCCCTTGTAATGCTGAATTGTCTCAGTGCTTGGTAGTCTCAGAGCAGTTTCTGTCCATGAAGGGTTAAGTTAAATGCAGGTTTCTACCCTGAAATGTCAATATAATAGCTTTTTAAAGAGAGAAAAAAAATTCATTAAAAATGCAGCATTTCTTTTTTTCCCAGGGAAGCTGTTTAATTTTTTTAATATTATTTTTTATACATACCAAGTTGGTTGTAAATGCCAAGAGCATTAGTAGTTAATATTTTATTGTATACATTCTTGTCTCCATTTCTGTTCAAAGGTTTTCTTAAAAGCAACGAATGACAAGTGTTCCTTTGGTTCCAAAACCTGTACCATTAGTGCCTGTTGCAAAGTGTGCATGAACACTCAAAACAAAAATTCTGATTTTCCTGAGCATCTCAACAGACAATCACAAGCAACTGAACCGCCTGATTTATATATTGTATTTAGTTAGCTGGGGTCAGTAGGTGAAGTATGAATGTGGGGTTAAGTCAGTGGTTTATACTTGAGCTTAAGAGGGATGGGTATTAGCACAGGCACAAATCATGTGCCTTGGTGGGCACACGGTGCACACTGAAGTGACTCAATCACTTTTGATTATTTCTTCATGTTCTCAGCAAAATTTATCACACAGCCTCAGAACAACACCAAGAGAGAGGAACTCTTCCTTACAGGTCACTCAAATTCAGTATTACTGTGTAATCACAGGATCCTGTATGTATTGTATATTGTCTATCAAATATTTTCCCTTTAAAAAAAAGTCATAATATTAGTCTTGGCTGGATGTTCTGATTCATCAGCTGACTTCAGTGCTGTGGACTACTCAGACAGAGTAGTGGACATCTTGGAAGTGAGGCTTTGCTTCAGCCCTGTGAGCCTGCCTATCCCTTTCTCCTCTAGGGAGTAGCCAGGTAGCTGCAGTGCCCGAATAAGTGCAGCTCTCATACAGGTTTCTCATGCCTGAAGAGCATGAGGTCATGGCATCCTTAGTGTTCCTCTCTGCTGAGCTGCAGTCAGAGGGCTGATTCAAGTATGATTTGCCTTGTGCCCATTTTTCTCCTTTCCTTCGTTGTTACTGCTTTCAAATGGAGACTGCAAGTGGGATCCCTGTGAGTCCCTATGGTCTGTAAAGGCTTGACACCCAACTGCTTATGACTTAAACACTTAGTGCACTTCTCTCTACACTTTCTAAAAGGGCAATAGAAAAGTTTCTTCTGTTAAAGGGATGGATTGTAGTTTGCTGAAGTTCCACAGGGCTTTTCATAAAAACATTGCTGGTTTTGTTTCTGTAACAAAAAAAGGTAGCATCAGTGTACCCAGTATGTATTACACTGATTCTCTAACTGAAATGTGTAAAATTGCAAGGAATTACACCTCTACAGCTGAGAGAACCTCATGTTAATGCATGTAGCACCATTAAACCTGATCTAAGACTCCTTAGTCTGTCCAAGGTTTCCTTAAGACCATTTCATACATGTGCCTCATTTACTCAGGCTTGAGAGTAAAGGAGCATATGGCACAGACAAACTGGGGACTTCTAGAGACATGCTGAAAGGGTTCCAAAGCATCTTACAAAACTGTTGTACAACTTAAAACACAGCCTTACAACTTTACCAGTGACATTAGATACACACACCCACACACATACAGGTGTTTTTTAATCCATTTGTTTAAATCTTACCTGTCTATGGTGAAATAGAATGAAAACATGGTCTGGGGTGTGTTCCTGTTCAGAGGTTGTTCATGCCAACTGCCCTGTGTCACAACAGCTCAGTGGCTGTTGCCTGTTCATCCACGTTGCTTGTCTCACCCACACAATGGGGTCTTCCTGTCCTCCATCAGCAGCTCAAGGGAGGTGATCCTCCTGCTCTGCTCTGATGAGCCCACCTGGACTGCTGTGGCCAAAGCTGGGGCTCATGATATATGAAGCCCATGGACCTGTGTTTGAGCAGGTCCAGAGGAGGCCATGAAGATGCTCGGAGTGTCAGAGCACCTCTCCTGCAGACAGGCTGGGAGAGCTGGGGCTGTTCAACCCAGGAGAAGAGAAGGCTCTGGAGAGACCTTACAGCATCTTCCAGTCCCTGAAGGAGGCCTACAGGAAAGCTGTAGAGGGACTTTTTACAGGGACAGGTAGTGATAGGACAAGGGGGAGTGGCTTTTAACTGACAGAGGGTGGCTTTAGGTTAGATTATTAGAAGAAATTCTTCACTGTGAGGATGAGGACTTTTAACTGTTTTTCATTTTGGATTTACATATTCTATACAAGTTATAGCCCTGTTTGGCATTCTGGTGTTCTAGCTTGTGACATGCTACTTAAGAAAGCAAATTTATTCTCCATTTTCAATCTACAGGCCTGGCCGTTCTTAGTATTTTCAATATGGTTACTTGCATGTTTCAGGCATGGCCCACTAATGCATTACACTGGAAGCAGAGATAAATCACTGTACTGTTTTATAATAAGACAAGGAATTTACATTCAGTGCTTTAGGGCACTTCTTACAGAAAGATCTTTCTTTGAACCAGCTTTAGCTGTATGAAGTTAATGAAACTAAGAAAACACACTGGGAAGTTCTCCGCTTCACCCTGCTGTCCTCAGGGAAGGTCAGCTCTGACATGCTTGTCTAACCAAGACTTAGAGACCTCCAATGTGATTTGTTCCCGGGCCACGATGCTGAAGAAGGGAACATTAAAAAGACAGTCTGCACAGAAGCTCTAGAACAGGATCCCTGTGTTTCACCGCCAGGCATCATTACTGAGCTTAGGAAAGCTCTGATTTCCATCACTAAGCTTTGTAAAGTTTCAGGTACTGCCAGAACTATTGCTCAGCAATGCTGGGTAGCAGAATACATCCAGAGATCTTTAAACCTGTGTAGTGAAGCATTAAAAAGGCAATAAAGAAGGTATGGCTCAAGGAACCTGAAAAGAAAATATGAAGTCAAACTTTCTGACTGAAATGGGCAAACTTTCTTTTAGTGGCATGCAGTGGGGAGGTCACAGCAAGGTGCCATATGTAATCATGTTGTTTTGTTCCCTTCCAACTGAGCCTCAATCCCCTTGGCTCAGATTTCTGAAGTCAAGAACCTCAGCACTGTTTATGTGCATCCATGTTGTGACAATTTCCCAAACACTACTGCTGCAGGTTACTGTACTTTCCCCCTTCTTGTCCATTTCCTGGATTCGGGTCAATCTGCCCTTGCTTTGGCTTCCACAGGTCCCATGCCATAATATATGTTCATTGACCCTATGTTTGCTTATGGAGCAGTAGTGTTTGATTCTAGACACGACTCTGCAGAAGAGCATCTGAGTAGAAAAGATCGTCTCTGAACTGCCCTGTCTCAGAGGCTTTTGGTCACAAAGTTGACAACGATGGTGGGTTTTGCAGTGCACACTGGCATGCTGCAGAGGGTGTAGCTGTCCAAGGGGATCTATGCTGATGGTTATTCCAAAAGCCTGTGTGCATGACAAGGCACATGCACTCAGGGCAGTCTTGGGGCAGTGTGACTGCCAGCTGCAGGAGAGCAGGATGTGGCATTCCTAAAATCCTTAAAGCTTGAGGATAAGGTCAGGGAAGTTTGAAGGGTTCAGTGTTTCTTTGATTTAAACAGAACTTTTTATTGCTCAGACTGTGCTGTAGATCACACTGAAGATCACAGGTTCATATTATTGTGAGGTATCCATTTATTCTGCAGGAGGGTTTTAAAATAAGCTATCAGTAAGCACACATTCTTCTTACCATAAGTTATTTTGAAAAGCAGAGATGGACTTCAGTGTGACTTTGAAATCTAAAGCTGAATAAACTTTGGTCCATCTTTGAAATGTGTACCTTAATTGTCTCTCTTCCAAAAATGTGGCTTTGTTAGTTGGAACAACAGCATCTACTACTGACAATCCTAAAGCCAAATAATCAAATGTTTGATTCATAGTCATTCCCTTTTGCTGCATTTTTACTTCAAGTAATGTAAGACATGCTTTTTAATTTCTTGTTTGCCATGTTTGGCTGTGATGAGAGACCTAAAAGGAAGACATGACATTATTTTAAAAAGGTGTGTTCATGCTTGGTTGAGTACTCCCCTTGGATATTATTTTCCCATTCAAATTCTTCTAATACTTGCTCTAAACCCACAAGCTAATTTACATCTTTCACCTTTAGCATTTCTTCAGCTTACTAAAATGAATAAGGCATTGTCCTGTGAGCAGTTGATTTATTTCCTGTGCATGTTTGATTTATTTCCTTTGTGTTATTTTTCATGTCTTTGTTCATGTTCTCACAAAACTGGATGTCATCCTATATGTGCTTAATTCAGCTTCATTGTTGTGTCATGCACATTTGTATAATCTTCAGATATGATCCCTAAACTTTTTGAAGGTCATAACCTGTCCTGCCAGCTAGTTCTGCTCAATCTCTGTGCTTCAATAACAATGAGCACTTGCAGGGTTTTGTATTTTGTAAACCTAATCTTTTGGACATCCTTAAATGTGCCGATGGAAAAATACAAAGGGATTGAAGCAATCACAGCTTCTATACTGTGTAGGGTGTGACTTCAGAAATGTTGCTTTTTTTCCTATCTTCTACTAACATGTGTGTCCCAGAGCTTTTGTGTTACCACATTCTTCAGAAGTGACTCATAAGAGGGTAACTTGGAAATTGCTATCACACAGTAGGAAGAAATGCTGGATTTTCAATTTAAACACCCTCCAGAAGGTTTATTTTTCTTAACAGCTAACTTCACTGTCTGGAAGAAAGAAAGGTACCTTGGTAAACTTAAATATCAACATGGTAGATAAGGAAGAAGCAGCCTATTTTTAGAAACACTAAAGTTTTAGCTAAAGCTAGTATGCATTTTATTATTTGTAGGACAGAATGTATAGTTGTCAGTAAAATCTGTGATGCATAACTGCCATTAAAAGCTTTTTTTTCCTCTAAAGAGTTAGGTATATTTAACTTGAGCTGTAGTTAAAGTAGTTTCCTGTTAAATAGAGCCAAGTGCAGTGCAGAACTATTTTTCCATTAAAAGAAAGCTGTTTCAGAAAGCACTAGCTCTCTTCAGCTGGAGTCAACATCATGCACTGCTTCAGGCAAGCAGTGAATGCAAGGTTGCTCAGCCCTGGCCGGAGTAAGGAGTGCGAAGCAGCCTGTGCTGCCTGTGAAGTGGCAGTAAAGATCCACTTTCCCCTACAAGTGCCTTGTAGTCAGAAACTGTAGCTATGGCTACAACGTGTTGAGCGTGGTCAATGTTTCATAACATTTGCCAAATTACAGTTCCCAAGTGAAGATAACCCAGAGTTGCAAAAACTGGCCTTTGCCCACTGCTTCTAATTTCTGTGTGCAGGCTCACCAGCCATGAACACTTCCAGTATGTTGTCTTCAGCCTCTGACACACATTTCACTAGCATCTGCTGAGGTTAATAAATCACTGGAGAGGGGATATTACTGCATCATGTTCAGTTGGATAAAGTGAGATAAAAAAACAATAAAGGAATTATGCATCATATCTCCATAGAATTATAGGCTATCCTGAGTTGGAAGGGACCTGCATCCAAGTCCAACTCCTGGCCCTGCACAGGGCAGCCCTAAGAGTCACACCCTGTGTCTGACAGCATTATCCAAACCCTTCTTGAACTCTGTCAGTCTGGTGCTGCGACCACTGCCTTGGGGAGCCTATTCAAGTGCCCAACTATCCTTTAGCTGAAAAACCTTTTCCTAATATTCAACTTAAACCTCCCCTGACACAGCTTCATTCCATCCCTTTGGGTCATGTCACTGGTCACCCGAAAGAAGAGATTTAAATTGCACAACATGCAGATAAACGTAGAGAAAAATTCTCTTCATAGTGAACAGCCCTAAAAGTGGAGATGTCTAGGGATCAGCTAAGTATTTTCTGGCAAAGGGTTCAGCCGAGGGTCTGTGCAAGCAAGTTGTAAAGGGATAGCACTGTGGTTTCCCTGCATGCCAGGCCACTGCATGCCCTGAGCTGGAGCCTCACCCTCATTTATCTTTAAGAACCGGGCAGAGCAAGGCAAATAAAGCAACTTTTGCAACATGGTTATGCAAGTCTGCTCGTGGTTCGCTGGAACCCTGTGCAGCCTCTTTTCTTCTCACCTTTTGCCTAAAGACCATGACACCTATCCCTGCACAGGCTGCAGACAGGATCCAGTGTTCTCAGTTGGAGTAAAAAAAGTCATGGCCTTGATATGCATATAGCTAAAGATTTGAGGAAAGTTTTGAGGGGAAAGGAAACATAAAGGGATATGAGAAATAAACCAGTAAGGAAAAGGAATGGGAATGGTTTGAAAAGACCTCTAAAATAATCAAGTACAAAAGAAGGGAGGCAAGGAGAAAGATAAGCATCAAGGAATAGAGTGGACTAGAAATACTTCATTCTGATACAAGTTATTTTAGGAAGTGCAAATGACTAGGTTGTACCTTCTGAGAGTACTGGAGAGCTTTGGCTGGAATTCGGAACAAAAAAGGAGAGTTTATGGCCATTAGAAGAAAGGGCTGAGAGCTCAGGAGGATTACAAGGATGTTATGAGTTTTTGCAAGGAGAAAATTAGAAGGGTTAAAGCCCAACAAGAACTAAATCTGGCTACTGCCATTAAAGACAATAAAAAATGTTTCTATAAATACATTAACGGGAGCAGGGCCCCATCCTGTGTAATGGTAACTTGGGAAGACAAATGCCATCACTCCAAATGTCCACACCTTCCTCCTTCTTCCCTCACTTTATATACTGAGCATGATGTCATGTGGTCTGGTACAGCCCTTTGGTCAGTTTGGGTCACCTGTCTGGGCTATGTCTCCTCCCAGCTGCCCATGCACCACCCCCAATTTCCTCATCAGTGTGGCCATATGAAACACATAAAAGGTCTTAGCTCTATAAACCATGCTTAGCAAAAACAAAAAAATCTCTATGTTAAAAAAAAAAAAAAAAAAAAAAAAAAAAAAAAAAAATTATTAAAAAAAAAAAAAAAAAAAAAAAAAAAAAAGTAAGGCCATTCCAACAGATTAATGAGTAGCCAGGCTGTAAAACTAAGAATTCTGGAGTATTCAGGAGTATTCAGTGAGATACAGCCACAGTCATACCATCAGTGTGTTTCTTAAGCAGCTTGCACAATCCCATGTTTTAATGGGTGAGCTGGGCTCTTACAAGTGTCAGCAAAGTTCATCAGCAAAGCTTTCATGTTCTCACTGTGTCCCTGCTGCTGTGAATTCAAGAGCCACTCTCTGCATTTCTCTTTGCACCTACAGTGCCTCTGAGAGTACTGGGTTTGGAGATGAGCTTCCAGGGGGGTGGAAAAAGGGAAATAGCTTCCAGCCAGGGCTGTTGCTTTTGGGCAACCACGAGTGGGCTGCAAAAAATGGTAGGGAAGAGCATGACAAAGGAGTCAGTGAAGATGGAGGCACTGAAAGAGTGAGGTTTCATCAGGTGAGTGGTTCACTCTCATTCTAACACTTTTTCTGATTAAGGGGTGGGACTCTGAGCTGGGAGGCTTGGCTAAAAGATCAGAGCAGTCCGCTTGCAGGAGTGCTTCAGGCTCCAGTGTGCTGGAGACGACTTGTGGTACCAGCAACCCAGCTGCTCTGGGGGTGACTCAGTTCTTGGTGCAAGAAATCAGCGGTGGCAAGATTTGAAGCTGACACACCAGTCAACATGAGCACGGCAGGCAAAGTAAGCAACAGTTTGTATTAGGAAAATTTCTTTGCTGCAGCTGAGTAATGCATTTTTAAATGTGAACTCTTGGCAGGAACACTGTAAATCCCGGTGGTATAGCACCGATTAGAGTTTAGGATGAAACTGGTACAGAAGAGCTGCCTTTATTTGCAGGCTGTCGTAGATTCCTAGGAAATGGTTGTTAACTCTTCAAGGCAATAGTTTATTTGAGGCAACATGAAATAACAGCGCTAGAATAACATTCTGTTTGGGTTAGCAAGCTGTTTTTAATCTCTGATTGGATAGTTTAAAATATGACAGAATGTACTAAGTGTTTAGATCAATGTATTTATCTACCAGTTTCCATTCTGAGATCCTACAGAAGTTTAAACTATTTTTAGTTTATTTATAATTCTATCAGTTTGTTTTCTAAAAAGAAGATATAGCTAATATTGGGTTAAATTTCAGGGTGAATTGTGCTGGTATTAGGACAGTCATTACATTTGGATATGCATATAACAAGTCTCAAGCGTTAGTTAATGAAGATCAGAAGTAAATTTCACATACAATGCAATACTGAGCTGGGATTGAAGTGAGTAGTTACATCTTTGCTAGAAATTAGATGGCAAGAGAGAAATGGAGGTTGATACCAATACATGTTCCTTCTTGCACTGCTGGCAAGATGCTAACAGTGACCTGCAAGAGGGATTAAGGGACAAGCAACTAGAAATGGAAAACAACTGAAAGTATGTGCCTTTCTAGAACGTGCCTTAAGATAGTACCAAGATCATTTGCTGTTACTGCCAGTTGTGTTCACTATTCTAAAACCAAGAGAGAAAGGGAAAAAATGCTGTTTGAGATACTGCAAGTGCAGAATTAATTGTAGCTTACTGTAGGTAAATTCACCAAGTTCAGTGCTCTACTCAGCATTGGATGCAGCACAGTAAATGAAGAGTTTTGATGTAGCTTAACTGCTTTGATTTCACCATGTTTAACTTGGAATAACACGAGAGTTACAATCTATGTAGCCAAGCAGCATAATCCTTTTGTCCTGTAAAAGGGTGCGTTTCTACACCTGCCCTCCCCCACTGCAGTAACTCACAGGGCTGGCAGAACACACGAGCAGAAAAACAACTATTAAGGCAGTGCTTGTTTTAGCAGATGAAGTGGGTGATAATGCGCTGCTGCTGCATCTGTGGGATCCTGTTGCAATCCATAAAAGCTCACGGGGACTAAACAGTCAGAAAAACACACCGTTAACTAATGTCTTATTATGGAGAGATTTGTTTGTTCTCGGCAATCCACACTCCTTGGCCACCTTTGTTCTTAGAAACACTACATGTGCTTAGCATGTGCAAGTCATGGAATCATCACTGTGTTATGTGGGATGCAATATAAATATATATATACTGCCTTTTTTTAAAGTAAGTTGGTGCCCTTTGAAATGTGATTTTTGGCCACACTTGTGAATTTTTCACTAATCACACTTGTATCTAAACATTAAATTTAGTGCAAATATCTCTTGATGCACTTTTTTTCAAAGCACTGTGCCCATCCCACTTCTGTGTCTAGCTGCTAGAAGTTTTCTATTTTATTTCATGTGTTTAGAATTTCCTAGTAATTATTTTCTTTGTAACCAGTTTTCAGTTTGTGGATAATCAGACATTATTTCTACTTCTACTTAAAAAAAAAAAATTGTTTGTTTGTTGTTTTCCCCTGTGACTTTTGCAGTACACTGGTGTTAAGTTGTCACACAGGATACATATGCATGTGCTGAACTTTTTGCATCCTGGATTTGATTCCCCTCTGTTTCCTTCTCAAGATAATGCCACCTGAACACTTGCAGTCAGTAGACTTAACAGAATGACTGAGGACTTTATAGTGTGTCACCCAGGAAAATCATATTTCAGTGACTGGGGTTGTTTAAAGACCGACGATGGGATCTTTAAACAACTCCAAGGAGGAATAGCAATTATGGGGACAGAGAGGTCCCACTGCTTTTGAATATACTAGGATTGAGCTTGCAGGGAGGAAACCGGTTTGAGAGACTGGGATGAGGTGTGGACAATGCTCTTCTCTTTTCTGAAGGGATTTTTCTTTCAGTGGCAGATGGTCAGAGGAGCCCTAAGGCCTGTCATTACCAGGACAAAGCCGGAAGAGTTAATGGGCAAACTTCAGTCTAAGAGATGAAAAAAAAAAAAAACAAACTATGTTGGATAGTTGGGTAGTGTTGCAGAGGATAGATTAATCTTCTCACAGGGTAGTAAATCCACCTGAATTAAACATCCCTTCTGAGAATGGGGTACCTTAGCATGGATAATACTGCACTTAAAGGGACTGTTCAAGATTACCTCTGTGTTGTGCTACATCACTTTGCAGAGGTCCTTTCAGCCATCACTTCATGGCTGAACTTGGGCTCTACTAGAATGTTTATAAATCTGTACTAGGCTCTGAATTAAATTTTTAGCAATTTTGTCAGTTCCCAACACAGACAGTTCTCGACAATACAGACTTCATCACAGCCTGTTAAGTGACATCATTTAGTGTGCCATCTTCAAGAAGATACAAATGCAGACAAGTAATCCAACACGGCAAAAGAAATTGCCCAAGGAAGTTAACAAAGGAGCAATGAGAATGAGTGAGGTATCCCATTACCTACCTGCCTAGGAGACTATTACACATGCAGGTGAAAACTTGATGTGACAGAATGATGAGCAAAATCAGACATTATCTTGGTGGGGGGAAAAACAGGCTTACAACACACTGACCTTTGGTGTTGACTTTGTTGTTGTTTGGTTTGGTTTTCTTTCCTGTAGTTTCCCTCTCATCTCCACAGATATGAGCAGGAGTTTCACATGCAAAAAGGGAAGAATCTGTGTGGTGACTTGAAAATGAAATGCCATTCTCATTTTCTTTGCTCTGTTTGCAGGTTATTAAATGCAAGGCAGCAGTGCTGTGGGAAGCCAATAAACCATTCAGTATTGAGGAAGTGGAAGTTGCCCCACCAAAAGAACATGAAGTTCGCGTAAAGGTACTGAAAATAAAATTTAAAACAACTCCTATGACTTGCATTATATCTTGCTTTTAATCAGAATTAGTTTTGTAATTTTTTAAGACCCAGTCAGAAAACATTCTACTAGAAAGTAGTAACTAATCAGTGAGCTCCTATGAAACAAGTCCTTAATTTGATAATGAGGTTCTTTAAAAAAATATATTTTTAGGGTTGTATTTTGTGTTTACCGACATCTGTTTTTCTAATAGGCTGAAAAAATTACAGCACAAGGCAAAAATCAGAATTTCCTGTAGTGTGGAGCAAGAAAATGTCTTTTACTTTGTTTAAATCTTTGCTAGGAAATAGCTCATTAGGCCTGGGAGCTTCCTTTATTACCTGGATATTACCCTCAGTGGAATTTAGGAGCTGCCTTAATTTTTGAGCAGTTTCAAGTGTTACACATGTGAGGAAAACCCTCTCATGGGGTTGACAAATCCATTTGTCAGAATAAATTAGTTGTAAACACATACATGAATATTTCAAAATAAATAGTGCTGTTCTAGCTGGAAGAAAAGGCAAAATGTCATATAAAACACTATGTAGCTTAATTTTTTTTTCATGTTCTATATACGAATATTTAAAATATATACGCAGCACAATAATATAATTATTGTGGAATTATCTATAATATAAAATCATTCTATAATGCATCATTTATATATAATATCTATTATATATTGTCATATAACCTAAATGTAATAAATACAAAATATACACAATATTTCTATGATTATAAATAATATGTGATGGTTAATTTGTATTTACATAATATTATAATTTTATAAAATATTTCACAGTTTTCTTTTTAAGTATTTATACATAAATAATAGGAATAATTTAATTTATTCTGTTCTCCCTATATAATTGTCTCACTAGAACATTAGTTCTACAGAAAATACAGAAAGTCTTCGGACTCCCTGTAGAGCTCAGTACTGCATAGCAAACATTCACAAGGGAGCTTTGCCCTATAGATTTAAGATTAATAAACACCAAGAAAATCTTAAATCAGACAGCTAAATTTGTTTTACCTGTAGATTCATTGTGTGCAGATTGGATTTTGGAGAGAAGCAAGTGGCTTCTCCAAATGTAGAATATAATTTCACTTTCACATATAACATGACACAGTTTAATGCAGAAATATCCTTGTCTTTCCTGTGAATCAGATCATGGCCACTGGGATCTGCCGCTCCGATGACCATGTGATAACTGGTGCACTGGTTATGCCTTTTCCAATAATTCTTGGACATGAAGCAGCTGGTGTTGTGGAGAGTGTTGGGCAGGGAGTGACTTCAGTCAAGCCAGGTATGAAACAGCACTGAAAACAAATCCTGTGCTGAGTTTCCAGACTCCTCCTTAAGTCAAAGATTATTTCTTTTGTGAGCATTTTTACTGCACGGAAAAATATTCCAATTTAAACATTATCAAGGATACCTCAAAGGATATAAATCTGCTGTTTACGCCTTTCTGTGTCCCCAACATACTTTCAGATTTTCTACTCAATTTCTTTTGCTTTTGGCAAAAAACATCTGCAGCTTGCTTTCCACCTACATACTGCTTTTCCTGTTGTGGGACTAGGAACATAGAGTCATTGCTCTTGTTCATATGAAATCAGGCATTAGCTGCAGGTTCTCTGAAACATAGTTGATACAGCTCACCTTTTTCAAGAATAAGGCAAAGCAAAGCACTAGATGACAAACGTGTCAAAGCACCATTTAATTCTCTTAACAGCTAAATAATCCATTGACTTCAGTTGATCTGAACTTAGATCTTACTTCACTTTAAAAGCATCTGGGCACAACTGGGGTGCCCACGCTGGTGCAGGCTTTGTATGTGGGCAGCACCAGTGCAGGTGAGGCAGCACTGCTCCCTGAGCAGACTGGATTGCTCTGAGGACACTCATCTGGACCAGCTGCTCATCTCCCTGTGTTCTCTTTGAACCACAGTGCATAGATAGTGAAAAATGTCAATTTTCAGCCAAGTGCTGTAAGATGAGATGGGATTCCTCTACACTTTTATAGGACCGAAAAAATTCTAACAAGGGCTAAATTATTAAGAGAAAGTATGCAGTGAAAAAAATCTACACAGAATCACTCAATTTCCAGGCAGTTTGTTATGATACCTTAGTAGCCCACTCTTAACACCTCTGTACTTCCAGTATCTTTGTCCATACTGACAAGTATGAAGTCTGTCCAAAGCAGGTTGGCATGTATAACAAAAAAATTTATTAGAGATTTCTGCTTTAACTTCAAACACATATGTATATTGCAAATTTCAGTTACAGCTCTAGCTGTACTTTCTGTTATGTCTGGGTTCATAAATCTCTCTGTTGTCTGATTCTTGCTGCCCTGTGTTTCCAAGTGAGCTGAAATAGCAGGCCTGAACACATAGATGCACAAAATCACATTTCTCAGATGTTGCTTAATTTACACCTCCAAGTTCTGAAAAAAAGGCTTCCACTTGTGCAACATCCCTTTAGCAAAATGATTACTAAGACCATAACACAGTTCTAAATTAACTCAGGGTCGGGGTAGTGGTGGTGTTTAATGTTCTGTAGGTATTTTTCATTTTTTGGTGGAAATCAAAAATTTCCCTTGACTCTCAGTGTGTCAAGGATTAGCCACATTTTAAAACTGACAAATTATAAACTGATATGCATTAGGAAATACCTGTTTAGAGATTATTGGGCATTTACGATATATCATTGCTGTGGAAATTGCATAGGAGTAAAAAATTACACTGGGAAGCTATATTCCACTTTGTTAATCACATAATTGTGCTAGAGAATTAGAGATGCTGGCTTAGACTGTGTGTGCCACTGCTTCTCAGACAAGTATTTTACCTACCTTTACTCAACAGAACACTAATAGGACTGCTATATAGCAGTAATAGACTGCTATATAAAGATGTTAAAAAAGACTGGCAAATTAATGTTTAATTCCCCATTCTTTGTATGCATGGTTTACAGCCCTGTTATCTTGGCACTCCAATCTGCTGTCCTAGTGGATGTCAATTTTTATCTCAGTTTCTTTAATGAAAGAAGGTGTATTACTACCTTCTTTTTACACAGGACATGCAATGAACTGCTGAATAAGTACTTTAGAAGTGTCAGTAGATAGCATGGTTTTATGACATAGGTCTGACTCAGTTCTGTTGAAAGACACCAGAAATTTTGCATATAGAAATAAGTTGTCATAACTTTGCCCTAATTATGTCTTTCATATAAAACACAGAGAGATGGTTTATCTTACAAATGCAGCAGAAATAAAACCATCACTGCATTCCTAGTGTATGCTTGCCTGGGGATTAAATACACTTGCTTCATGTTTTTACCTGCATGCATCTTGTTTTCTTTTTTTAATCCTCTGTCATTACTGTTTTATTTCTAGGAGACAAGGTTATTCCACTCTTTGTTCCACAATGTGGGGAGTGCAAGAGCTGCTTAAACACCAAGGGTAACCTGTGCAGTAAAACTGAGTGAGTTTTCTTGGATTACTTGCAACCCTAATTTGATTTGACTTTATCCAAAACTGATTACAAGCAACAGATTTCACTTGCCTTTATTTCTGGTCATCTTTCAAACAGCCTTGCTACAGGTGCTGGATTAATGCCTGATGGCACCACCAGATTCACCTGTAAAGGAAAAGCAATTTACCATTTTATTGGTACAAGTACCTTCACTGAATACACAGTACTGCATGAATCTGCTGTAGCTAAAATCGATTCTGCTGCTCCTCTGGAAAAAGTTTGTCTAATTGGCTGTGGATTTTCAACTGGTTACGGGGCTGCTCTTCAGACTGCCAAGGTAAATATTGTGGTGGGTGTTTCTGATATTTTATAGTGTCTGTTCAATATTGTGTAGCCTGTGAGTGGGCTGTCAGCATGGAAGTGAGGAGGTACAGACTCTGTTTAGTTCAGCGTGGAAATAAGATACTAGTTCTTTGCTTTCTTCAGATTCTGTCTCTATGTTACTCAGAAGTCTTCAACTCAAAATCCAGTAAAATTGCTTATTTCCATCTATAATGTTTTGCCTCAGTGCTTTATCACCGCTAGAAAAATGTTGCAACAGAGTTCTTTTTTTTATTATAACTGAAGTCTAGGAATTCATAGAAGCAATACATATAGGCAACACTCACAATTGTAGCAATATATGAATGTGAGTTTTAGAGCTGGTGCTGTCTCCAGTTGATTGACACTACAAACCTTAACACCACTGGAATATCATTAAAAAAAGGTGTGTCTAAACCTGAAGCTGAGGCATATAATGAAAACTTGATCTCAGAAATGTATGTCAGGGGGAATTTCTTTTAGTCACATGTAGCATTATAACAGTACAGCTGGTTACTGCACTAGCAGGTATCCATGTGCAAATTCCTTCTCAGCAGGTAATCTCTAAATTGCAAGAAGTGGCTTAAGTGAAATCATGCTGATAATGAGGAAATGCATGGTACTTTCCCTAGCCTGCAACAATATGCCATGTTTACATGGTTCTTATTATAGGTGGAACCAGGCTCCACCTGTGCGGTCTTCGGCCTCGGAGGAGTCGGCCTCTCTGTTATCATGGGCTGCAAGGCAGCTGGAGCTGCCCGCATCATTGCCGTGGACATCAACAGTGACAAGTTTGCCAAGGCCAAGGAGCTGGGAGCCACTGACTGCGTCAACCCTAAAGATTTCAACAAGCCCATCCACCAAGTGCTGATGGACATGACCGGCGAGGGTGTGGACTACTCCTTCGAGGTCATCGGCCGTACGGATACCATGGTATGCAATCAAAAGATGAGGTGAGACCCGTTAGCTCTCCCTTCACCAAGCTGCCAAGCACCAAGGAGGAGCAGGAAGCCACTGGCCGAGTACCAGGCTAACTTCAAACCTGCTAAGTGTAGCTGTCAGCCACTAGATGCAGGGACAGAAGCATGCTCAGAAATTTAGGAAAGGGAACTTCACTTTAGTGTCCTGGCCAAACCAGGGTGGCTACATGTCACATATTTCACATGCTCTCCAAAAGTGGCTTATCACTAATAGTTTAGACAAAATGGGCAACAAGAGCAAAGCTAGGATATATTTAACCAGTGAGAGCAGATACAATGGTGTGAGCAGATACAATGAACAATTTTTAATGAGGTTTCAGTTACAAAAAATTAATTGCAAGCATAGCCCTGAGAAGAGGAGATGGAGTTCAAATTTCTGTGCCCCAAGGACAAATGTTGCCTGACTCTGCATGTCCCTCTGTTTCTAATGCAGACTGCAGCCTTGGCCTGTTGTCAGTGTAACTACGGAGTCAGTGTGATTGTGGGAGTGCCCCCTGCAGCACAAAATATCACCTTTGATCCCATGCTCCTCTTCACTGGTCGCAGCTGGAAAGGCTCCGTCTTTGGAGGTCAGGACTCGGAAAGATGTGATTCAACTGGCTTGAGAAACTTGTAAATCATCATGAATGAAATAGGATACATCAAATTAATTGCTTAGGCTGTGTTATTGGAAGCAGTACTGCTAGCTGTTTTGCTTATAAAGAAGTTGAAAAGGAATTAATTATAGGAACTATAATGGCAAGTGAAGGAAGGAAAAAACTGGGGAGGGAGGGGGAAGAAAGGGAAGAGAATAAGAGACAGAAAGAAAGAGACATAAAAAGACACAAAATAGCGAAAAAGAGGGAGGAAAGAAAGGAGAAAGAAGAAAGGAAAATGAGAAATAAGGGAGAGAAGCAAAAAATAAAATGAGGGGGAGGGGAGGGAGGAGGTTGGATTAAAAAAAAAGATGAGAAAAAATGATAAGGAGAGAGATAAGAGGAGAAAAAGGATAGAAGATAAAGCAAAAAAAGAAGAGAAAATCATAAAGAGAGAGGACAGAGGGAGGGGAGAAAAAGATCAAGTGCAAAAAGGAGAATGAGAGCAATAGAAAGAGAGAAAAATAGTGGGAGAGATGGAGATTCAGGACTGTAAAGGGCATCAGGGCTTACACTCAGCTGATTTCCACAGAGGTCAGACCCCAGCTTAGCCCCTGGCCAGCTGCCAATACTCCCTTCCCAGTCTTTCTCTTTTTGGAGCTCTCTCAGTAGTCCCACACTCAGCAAGTCCTAGCTTGCTCAACTCAAAGGCCACAGAAAACTTGTTTCCAATAACAGGTTTTCTCACTTGTAACCTGGTCCCCTCATGTAATCAAAAGATACCTGAATAAAATAGCAGAGACAAATCAGGATCCTCTGGAAGCACGTTCTACTATTTATGACAGCTTTATATAGTGGTGCTTTTAGTAAAAGAGAGAAACATCCACCACCCACTCCCCAATATTGAGCAGACAATCAAGTTTCAACTTACCAACATGGATGATGGTGCTCTGGCTTTTGTATGAAATGTGATTAAGTTGAAACAGTGTTTGATATGGGGGAAAGTTTGGATTCTGTAAAGACTGACATTTGTACTGGTCTTCTGCTGCGTTTGTCATATGTGGAATAGCTGCACTTTATCCCATGTTTTCTGCTGGCACCTGTGTTAAAAAGGTAAAGCCATGCTGCCATATTTCATCCTATTACGCTGCTATATAAAGTTTATCTAAAAATTTAAGCTGCTCTGGGTTTTATGTACTTTCAGAAGCATTTAATTTCATTATGCATTTTCTGTGTTTTTTTGGTTTTTTTTTCAGGCTGGAAGAGTAAAGATGCAGTTCCCAAACTGGTTGCTGACTATATGAAGAAAAAGTTTGTTCTGGACCCATTAATAACCCACACACTAACTTTGGCAAAGATCAATGAAGGATTTGATCTTCTAAGGACAGGAAAGAGGTAAACATCATTTCATTGTAAAGGTTCTGTATAACGAACCTAAAGGAGATGTGTGGTAAGACAAAGTCTAACTTGTGCTTTCCTCAAATATTGTGAAAATTCAGCTCAGACTGTTTTCACAGGGTAATGGAATTGGAAATATTTTTTGACAGAGACATTTGACAAAGCTTACCATGGGAATTGAAAAATTGTCCTTAGCAGAAGTAGGAAATATATTTGTATATCTTAGTATGTTTGGCAACTACCCTTTTTGAAAGTTCTAGATGTACAGAGTCTGGAGAATTACATTAATGTTTTCTTTTCATTGTCATTTGCTAGCAGTTGTTTTAGATGTTCCTTGCTCTGAATACAAAAAGCAAGTAACAGAAGAATTTCAGCCCCGAGGTTTGTTCTCAGATTCTAATGATGCAGCACACACTTCATCTTTGATTGTCTTTATTTTACATAGGTTACAAATCCTAGTTTTAGTTTTTAGTATAACAAACAAGAAAGTGGTGAGGACAGAGATTCCAGCAGCTTTGCTAAGATACCGATAATCAGCTTGAAGATGGAGGCACATTGCAGTTTATAATTTTTATGGAGTATAATACTTCAGTGTTTCAGAGCAGAATAAGCTGTACCAGTTACTCTGTAATTGGAAAGATGTGTCTAAGCCCCTCTCTGAGGAACTTCTCTGGCTGTAGCTGGTAATTAATTACCAGGAGCCCTGGGCATCATCAGTGAAGGCTTTGCAGTCTTCTGGGAATTTTGTTCTCTACATCTGCAGCAAAGTTTGCACATCTGTTCTGTCATTTTGCTGCAAGCTGGGGTGGGGGCAGGCAGGGAGGGAGTACCTGTTTGACAGCAATAGCACAGATTATCAGAGAAAACAGCAGTGCTCTGCTGATGCCAGCCCTGGGGATTTTCTAGTCACTAACTTGTCATTTTATATTGCAGCATCCGCAGTGTCCTGACATTTTAGGATTCCCAGACATTAACCTGCAGATGGCTCAGCACCAGTACTAACTTCACCATCCACCAATACAACTTACATGATGCACAAATCAAGATTTGTAAGATTTTGTAAGATTTTCCTGAAAGATCTACCACTACCCTTGAATAAAAGAATCAAACTAAAACCCCACATTTCAAGCACATAATTTATAGATAAAACCATCTTTTTCCTTCTATCTCTTTCTCATCATTCTTGTTTTAAATCCTTTATATTGTGCTGCAATTTCTTTAATAGCCAGTTATGAATTACAGGACTTGCTCCTGTCACAGGTGTTCTAAAAAGTTAGGATTTTTAAAAATTACTTATAATAATCTTTTAATAAAATAAAAAGGAAGGAAACTGGCTTTTTTAGGTTTCCATAACACTGCAAGCTTAAGAAATTTCTACATGCAGCTCAGCACAGTAAAACTCTAGGCTAGAACTCTGTGTATCCATCCTGAATGTATGTATCATTCCAGTGCCTAATAAGCAAGGAATGATATAGCAGAAATTAAAATTTATGGTGACCATGTGTTTGAATTAATAATTTAAGTAAATCATAGACTTAAGTACTGGAGAATGTCTCACCACTCAATATTTTACCAGATTAACACTCCTAAATATTTCATGTAAAACTGGTGTAACATTGTTCTGTATAGTGGTTGGTATTTGGTGTTTTGGGTTCTTTTTACCTTTATGCCTCTTTCTTAGGGTTGATTTAGTTGTTGATCAGTGTGGTTTAAGACTTTTGGTCAATTTATACAAATGCCTCTGATGTTTGGGAAGCAGTGTGAAGAAATACAAATGTGCATCAAGTACTGTTATTTGTTCCCACTATACAAAGTGGAAGCTCCTTGATTTCTTAAGTATGAATAGAGAATAAATGGAAAGAAACAGGTGACTGGTAACAGTTTGCAACAACCCAAACATAAAGCATCTTACTGATTTCTGAATTTGCAATGTAGAAACAGAAACAGAGGCTATTTCTATCTGACAAATATAGTCCACATTGACATATCTTTAGCATGGACTAATCAGAGCTCGCAGGCACTCACACGCATGGCAGCTGGGTAGAAGAGCCTGTGAAGCAAGGGGACTGTGCTACAGATTACTTACTTACCTGTTTGTGTCAGCAGAAAGAGTCCGAGTGGCTCAGCTAGTTTCACGATTTGAGGACAAGAGATCACAGTTTAATGATTTGAGAATCAAGAGACTACAGTTTAACCTTAAACACGTCTATAAACTAAATTTGCACAACAATTGAGAGTTGAACTTCCGTCTTTAGTGTAAAAGACCTAAAGTACAACAAACCTCACTTCTATCCTCTTCAGGATGGTGTAAAGCCCGTTTTTCTGGTTGTCATCTGCCAAGCATAGTAAACACCAGCTGTTAGTATCTTTAGTACAATAGTTTCTGAAGTCCAAAACAATAAGTCATTAAACCATTTTTATTAGGGATATTTTATAAGACAGCCATCTAGATCTGTCTTCACATGGAGGAATGAAGTGTATTCTGACTGGGAAACAACAAAAAGTTCATACTTTGCTAGAGTGTTCTGCCCTGCAGACCCTCATCAACACTCAGCTGAAGATGAATTTGTTTGTGTGATTGTATAGCTTGGACAGAAGGGTTCTGATGGCCCTTCCTAATAACTCTCTGGCCCTGAGGTACTCCAGGGGGGTCCAGGAGTGTTGGATACCTCTGGACAGCTCTTGCACAGCTCTGTGTAAGCCTCCATCTAGCAGCTTTCCTGGGAGTAAGTAGAGACCACATGCCCCATCAGAACACCAGCTGTCCACTACCACATGATGACACCACAGAAAATCCACAAAAGATGCGAAAAATCCAGTAACTTCCCAAGAAGCAAACTAACTACGAGACAAAGACAACTGGTGTTTCCTCAGACCTTGAACTATGGGCAGTGTTCAACGGAACATCACTTGGCTTTGTGTACAGCTGAGCACTCCCATGTTGCTGCTCTCCCACCACACCCCACCCACCCAGACACTCCCCCAGGAAATGGCACATGCTCCAGTGTGCAGCTCTATTTTTACATTCTTTTAAGATCATGCTCCTTGACAGTGCTTCAAGGCCAAATGATCATTCCCACACAACATAATTCCCTCCAATGATTCCAGGTTATCAGATGAAGACCACAGATCCCAGTAATAAAAACAACTGTGCTACACAGATACCTGGGAGACAACAAGCCTATGAAAGATTTTTTTCTCTAACAGGATACACAAATCATACTAGAAGTCATGATAGATTTATTTCTTTTTTAATGCAACAGGTTGACCAGGCTGAATACTGAAAATCTTTAAAACTTCATTCTAAAACTCCTTATTCCTGGGAAATTATGCATCATCATCATTCATGGTCTGATTGAGGCTACCAGAGGTATGCAAACAAATGCATGAAAAAGTAGAAATTTCTTGGGAAAAACTGATAAACATCCCTGTTTACCTGAAATACAGATAAAAATTATCCACAAGTGCATGTCTGCTCTAGAGCCAGCTGCTCACCTCCAAGACAGGAGCATGTCATCACCTAGAGGTTGGGTTGGCCACCAGGGCTGTGGAACTGAATTCCAAGCAGCACATCCATGTGGCTGGGACCACTGTCACACCACAGGGCTGCCATGCTCTGTGCAAGAACTCAAACAGCTGCTGGGGCAGGATAGAACAGCTGGTCTGCATCCCTGCAGCTGGAGACAGGTTCAGGGAACTTGAGAGCTGGGGGCTTGGCTGGCCAACTCTGAATCTTGCAGCTGCTACCGTGAAACAGGGCTGGGTCATTAAATAGCAAGCACCAACACAAACCTCTGTGGGCAGTCTGCAGAACACAAAACCTGGGGCTGACGTCTTCCCAAACATAGAAACAAGTTCCCAAACACACACGGTGCTGATCTTAGCCTGGTCCTCCAACAAGCTCTTGCTCATCCTGTCTCTCCTACAGATCACCTTGCCCAATGCCGCAGCAGAAAACAGCTCTGGGGGAACCTGAAGAGCCCAGGGGGTGTGAACCCACAAACCTGGTTACACAGGAGTGAAGGAAAAGCGTCCTTGGAAAAAAATAAAAAATCCTTTCTTGACAGACCCTCCCCTAACTGCTCTGGCGAAAATAGCTTCAATACCACAGACAGTAAAGCTTCAACCCAGAAGGTGATGCATCTTTGTCCACCGCACCACATTTTCACAGCCTTTATTTGGTTTTTTGGTTTTTCTGTTTGGGTTTTTTGTGTTTTTTGGTTGTTTTTTTTTTTTTTT